AAATTTCAGGAGACGGGAGCACCCATCCTAACTGATGACGTCAGTCTGCAGGTGTTCATGGATCATTTGAAGAAACTGGCTGTCTCCAGCGCCTGCTGAGGGCGGATGTGAGCAGCAGGCGGAAGAAAGCCCTGTCGTCTTGTGTTCGCGGTGGTCTCTACAGGCTTAGCATTCCTTTTAATCTTCTCATGGATTTTAATAAATAATCAAAGGAAGTGTTGTGTAACTCTTCAGATTATAATTTATTTGTTTTCCTTGTGTCCTTTACACCATAAAATCCGTATAAGGTCACAAACCTTTTGGTGCTTGTAGATGTTTGTATCTTTTTGTACCCTAACTTTCAGAGTCTATATAAAATCAGAGCTAATGTATTTTGGCAGCTTGCTTACATGAAAATCGTAATGATCAGAAAGAAAATAAATCTGGATGAAGAAAGCACTGTTTAAATTAACATTAATACAGATTTGATCTCTGAGGCCTCTAAGTCTGTGTGTGTTCTGAGTAAATTCTCCAAGAGGTAATTCCTGAACTTAATCCTCATTTACTGTCTAGATATTAACAGACAAGGAAAAGTAAGAAATACGTGAAACTTTATTGAGGCAGAGTGGTCTGGGGTGGCACCATCCCCAACTCACGTGTGATATTCCACGTAAACAGTCCGACCCCAGTAGATGTAGAGAATGGTTGATGGGCATATAAGTGGCTCTAACAGTGACAACTCTTTTTTTGACAACACATTTATCTTGTGCATCAATTAAAATAACTTTGAGTATTTTTTTATGAAAGTAATATATGTACAGTAGTTTTTAAAAAGTTATCCTAAAGATCTCATAAGAAACAATGACAGTTCCCTGCACCCCCCAAGTCTAGACCTGCTTGTCCCCGGGAACTGCTTTCAGCCTCCTTACTAGCTTTTTGTTGCTGTGTCAGTTTTAGCCAGTATTGCTCAGTTCCTGCTTTAAAAAATGAAGATACTAAGAGCTTTCTCTCTACCATCCAGTTTTGCAAATATATCTTTATTTTTATATTTTCAAGGTTGGTTAAATTTACATTCTGACCTATAACCATAGTTAACGTCTTTCATCTCCAAATTGATTCTGAAAGTTGGAGGCTGACAGAGCATTTACACAGTCGTGATAATGTAAATACTGTTTATATGAGTCAGGGAGTGGCTGATCTTCCTCCAGGGTTTCCTGTCCCAGGCCCATCATTTGAAGGAAAACATTGCAAATGACAAGATCAGTCGCTTTTCTTACATTCCGGCTTCCCGCAGGTAAGTTTGATTCTGTTTCGGATTCTGGCCTCTTAAATTTGCTGTTATTTTCCTGATAGTGTCTAATTTTTTTGTTGAGAGAAGATTTCTGTTCTCTATTAAGAAATTCCAGCCTTCTGGAAAAATCACAAATATGTGAAAACTAAACAACATGCTACTAAACTGTTGAGTGAATGAAGAAATCAAAGGAGAAATAAAATACCTGAAGACAAATGAACATGAAAGCACGACGTGACAAAACCTGTGGGCGCAGCAAAAGCTCAGCTACGGGACGGTTACAGCAAACAGGCCTACCTCGAGGAAGAGGAAAGATCTCTTACCTAGCCTGACACCTGAGGGAACTAGAAGAAAAACAAGTGAAGCTCAAAATCAGTAGAAGGAAGGAAATAATAAAAATCAGTGGAAATAGGAAAACAAACGCTCACGATGGTGGCACCGGGAAACGACCGGCCGCTGGGCTTAAAGCAGGAGTGATGGCCTGAGTGGTGGGGAAGCCTTGACCAGCGCCTGTAGACGTGAGTGCGACAGCTCGCGCGGTCTTGGGAGCGAACCGCTCGGGGCCTGCGAGCCACGAGGCTCCTGAGGTGTACGGTGTTATCTGCGACCTGTGCTGGCCCCGCGGCCCCGGAGCGCCGAGCCCTCCGCCCGGAGGCGCAGCTGGCCGGCCCCAGGCCCCGGCCTCTGTAATGACAGCCACGAGCCACTCTCTTGTCACAACTTCACAGACTTCTAGAGGCAATTCCCAAGACAGAAAGGACCTGGACAAATTCATTAAGTTTATTGCCCTTGAGACTGTCCAAGTGGTTGTCCAGGCTCGAGTGGGCAAGATTTGTACTCATTCATCTTCATCACCAGCGGGCTCAGATTGGTTCAATCTAGCAATCAGAGAAATCCCAGAGGTTATACATGAAGCGAAGAAGGCGCTGGCAGGGCAGCTACTGCCATCGGGAGATCTGTGTGTGTGGAGATCTCGCTCAAGACTTCCGAGGGAGATTCTGTGGAGCTAGAAATTTGGTGTCTGGAAATGAATGAAAAGTGTGATAAAGAAATCAGAGGTTCCCATGCAGTGTCCAGCAGACTGTCATTGCTGCTGAAGTGTCTCCTTGCTGTAACCAGGGTGGCATCAGTTTACAGACTCTCCAGAAAGCAAGGGCACGAATGTGTCATGCTGTGCAGGATATATTCTGGGGAAGTTCAGCTGAATGGCTTAGGAGAATGTTTCCAGACTGTTCGCGTTGGGACTGTGGGCACCATAACTCTTTCTTGTGCTTACAGAATTAACTTGGCATTCAAGTCCACCAGGCACTTTGAGAGGCCCCCACCCATCATGGGGACTATCACTGGTCACTCTGTGGCCGTCCCTATCCCGGCCCCTCGCCCACACACTCCTGCAGTTACAGAGCCACCAGTGAGGACCCTGCAGTAACACATCCTTCTGCGGAAGGTTCTCAAGAAGTGTGTACCACCTCTTTTTCCACCTCCCCTCCATCCCAGCTAATGGTTCCCAGGAAGGAAGATGAAGTATCCCTTGCTCCCAACCAGCCTGCCCATGGTACCCAAGCTGACCAGGAGAAGTTGGCAACCTGCACTCCTTTAGATGGGGCCCACTGTGCTGCCACGCCTTCCAGCGGCAAGGATACTGAAACTATCAAACAGCAGTGAGGGATGGGCCTCCCCCCGACGACATCTTGGAAACAATCTTAGTCCAGAAAGTGGGGGCTTTTGTCAACAAACCCATCAACCAGGTGACCTTGACCAGTTTGGACATACCCTTTGCCATGTTTGCTCCTAAGAATTTGGAGCTGGAGGATGCCGATTGCATGGTGAATCCTCCAGACTCCCCAGGGACTGCATCTCCTCTCCAGGGCAGCCTACTCTGATGGCTCTGGGCGGGGCAGCAGTGGCAACACCAGGACGACTTTATTACGATCGACTTCAAACCGGGTTCTTCTAAAGACGACATTCTTCCAATGGACTTGGGGATCTTCTATAATGAATTTCAGGACCCCTCTCAGCTGAGCAGCCTCTCCGTAGATATCGGGACACAGTCCATGGCTAAGGGCTTGGACTCACTCCCGGAGAAGCTGGCTGTGCACGAGAAGAAGGTCCGGGAATTTGGTGCCTTTGTAGAAACCCTGCAGTAAAAGTTGGTGTCCTCGGGTACCAGCAGCATCCCCTTTTTGTGGTCCCAGGAGACAGAGCCTCCCACTCATCAGCTGCTCCCATCCCTCCTCCTGCTCCAAGCCAGATGGAAAGGAGGCTGGTTTCCCCCACAGTGACCCCGAAGTCCTTGCTCGTGCACCTCCTGGAGACTCATAGCAGCAGTGAAGGCCAGTGATACTATTTAAGAGGACTCACCCTTTGGCCTCCTTCAACAGGGTGGGCCCTCTGCTTACACCGCCCTGGGCAACTGCTTCACAAAGGCTGTCAATCTGCTCCTCCTGCTGGCCCCCTGCCCTGGGTTTGCCCTGCAGCCGGCCCCTCGCCATCGGCCATCTGACATTCCAGCTGGTGGCCCAGGGGCTCGTGTGTACGCAGAAGAGGAAGGAGACAGTGCTGGGGGGAGGGAGGAAGGGCCCCTTTAGTTCTTTCTTTTCTCCTTTGGTTCTGGTATCTTCTTCCCCTCTCTCTCTTTCTCCCTCTGCCCCGTGCCTGTGTTTTGGCAATATGGCAGGCCTCCTGCCCAAGGTGATGGGAACTCTAAAGCCAGCCACTCCCACCCTGAAGGCTGTGCCAGCCTGTCCCGAGCAGCCCTGGCGGCTGCCTGTGCTCGGCTACATAGAAACAGAATCCTGAGTCTCTAGGATTCTGTTACTGGAGGCTCAGCAAGGTTCTCTCTCTTCTCCCTCCCCCTGATGCTGCTCCTTGGTTACAGAACATGGTAAATATTTATTACTTTCAGAGAAATCAGATATTTTACAGAGAAAATAGGTTTGAGGTTAGATGCTTTCACCTGGGGAAAGTGGGGGGCCTCTTCCTGGGGCAGCCCCTCCTCCCGTGGAGGTTCCTCAGATTCGGGGACCTTGCTTCCCATATATATATATACATAAGGTGGGATCCAAGAACGGGGCTGGCTCAGGGAGCAGAACCTCCCAGAATCGCTGCACCTGAGCTGACAGCGGGCTCTGCCCTGGACGCGTCCGTGTTCCCGGTGAGAGCCTGGAATCCCTCCCAGCTTCGCCGTGTGACTGACGCCTCTCTGGCCGCCCAGGAAGCCTTGGGTGTGACATGTGATGGCCCCTCAGAGGTGTGCCACGTGTAGTGCTAAAGGGGCATTGCGTGTGTCCCGCTGTGGCCCCGGGGAAGGCCAGACAGGCCCCTCCTCTTGGGCCACTTGTTCCTGTTTCTCGGGTTACGGGCCTTTTCCTCCCCCCCGCCTGGGCCTGGCCACCACCTTTAACCCCAGGGTCTGTACGCTGCCCTGAGGTTTAGTGGTTGGGTTGGTTTCTTGTTGAGAAACCAGAGCTGGGCGTACATTTGATTTAACCCATCAGGTATTGTTACTTGCAAGTCAAGGGCCTAGCCTCACGCACTGACCATCTGCTCCTCGCAGCCTAAGTGGTGGTCGCAGCCAAGGAAAACCAGGCCCCCCACCTCCTCCCGGCCCACCTGGGGTCTTCACCGGCAGCAGCTGCTCTGCAGCACAGCAGGTGGCCCCCAGCTGCTTGTTAGGAAATGCTTGTGACGTTGTTCCCACCTACGAGGCTGATCTCTGCGGGCGGGGGTCCGCTCTGATGCTGTCTCGGTTGGGCTGAGCCCTACCTCTGCACATTTTGCTGCCGCGAAGAAGTGTTCCCAGGAGTGGTGTCCAACTGACCCTCCTGTCTTTGGGCCACAGCACACCATGGCCTGCTAATCCAATCCAGGTTTACACTCAAGGCCTCAGCACTAGAAGGGTGAAGGTCCTGGTAAGTTACTGATTACCCCCCACCCCTATCTCACCCCAATATCTCAGCCACTGCCC